TGAAGAGACTAGCATTAGGTCTTGATGGTGATTTTATTGATGCCGTCAGTCCAATTTTTACATGTTTTTAATGTCCGTGTTCAGAAATGTCAACGTGTACTGCTACTGCTAGCGTGCATTTATCTGCATGTATTTGGTTTGTGGATGTTTAGAGACAAACGGTTCAAACGTGCACGCACATCCCACCTTGCAATCTATACAATCCCACGGCCATGCCCGTAAGAGATTAACAAAATTCTCAGTCCTGACTTGTTCTCTACGGTTGCCCTAAGGTGTAAATGAACAGCATTTGAAAAAAAACAAAAACAGAATTGCATTAAGCCAAACCAGAAGTGTTATTTTTTTTGTACTTTATTAACACGATGAAACAGAAGAATGTACAGTACACACACAACGGGCATAAAGTTAGCAGGCTAGCCTTTAGCCTGTAGAAATGGAGAGCAAAGTTTTGTTCAAGCTTAAAGAAAAAGATATGACGCTGGAAAAATGCAGCAGGATTAGGGTTAGAGCTTGAACAAAACATAGCTCTCCATTTCAACAGGCTAAAGGCTAGCCTGCTAACCGTACCTCCATTGTGTGTGCTAGCCGGATAACTGCATCTACGTTGTGTGTGTACTGTACATTGTTCTGTTGTTCTGTTTTATGTTGTTAATAAAGTAAATAAAAACACACACACACACAAAAAAAACACCACTTCTGGGTTGGCTTAATGTAATTCCATTTTTTCAAATGTAATTCCGTTTTTTTTCAAATGTGATTCAGTTTTTTTTTCAAATGTGATTTTGTTTTTTTTCCAAATGTGATTCAGTTTTTTTCAAATGTGATTCAGTTTTTTTCAAACGTGATTCCGTTTTTTTCAAATGTGATTCCGTTTTTTTCAAATGTGATTCAGTTTTTTTCAAATGTGATTCCGTTTTTTTCCAAATGTGATTCAGTTTTTTCCAAATGTGATTCTGTTTTTTTCAAATGTGATTCAGTTTTTTTCAAATGTGATTCAGTTTTTTCAAATGTAATTCCGTTTTTTCCAAATGTGATTCAGTTTTTTTTCAAATGTGATTCAGTGTTTTTCAAATGTGATTCAGTTTTTTTCAAACGTGATTCAGTTTTTTTTTATGTGATTCTGTTTTTTTCAAATGTGATTCAGTTTTTTTCAAATGTGATTCAGTTTTTTCAAATGTAGTTCCGTTTTTTCCAAATGTGATTCAGTTTTTTTTCAAATGTGATTCAGTTTTTTCCAAATGTGATTCAGTTTTTTTCAAACGTGATTCAGTTTTTTTCAAATGTAATTCCGTTTTTTTTTCAAATGTGATTCAGTTTTTTTCAAATGTGATTCCGTTTTTTTCCATATGTGATTCAGTTTTTTCCAAATGTGATTCTGTTTTTTTCAAATGTGATTCAGTTTTTTTCAAATGTGATTCAGTTTTTTCAAATGTAATTCCGTTTTTTTCAAATGTGATTCAGTTTTTTCCAAATGTGATTCAGTTTTTTTCAAATGTGATTCCGTTTTTTCAAATGTAATTCCATTTTTTTCCAAATGTGATTCAGTTTTTTTCAAATGTAATTTCGTTTTTTTTTTTTTTTTTCAAATGTGATTCAGGGTTTTTTTCAAATGTGATTCAGTTTTTTTCAAATGCGATTCAGTTTTTTTCAAATGTGATTTCGTTTTTTCAAATGTGATTCCGGCCACTTCCGCTTCGGCCACTTCCGCTTCGACCACTTCCGCTTTGGCTTAATGTAATTCCGGGTTTTTTTTCAAATGTTGTTCATTTACACCTTAGGGCCACCGTACTTCTCCAATGAAGCAACTCGTCCGCCATGCCTGTTCTGTTTTCTATTTGCATGTGCGCGTGTGTGTGCGTGTGTAATTTCAACCCCTAAAACCAACTTGTGTTCACCTCAACTGACGGCGGTGATTCGTTTTTGGTAGCATAGGATGCAAAGATGGGAAGTCAGATGATTATACAAATACCAGGTCAGTTGTCACCTCATCACTGCCTGTCCATCACTTCACATGACCCATCTTCTAGGCTCTTGGGTTTGGAGAGGCCCCAGATGTCTCCGGTTTGAGCGTATGAGTGTACCGTTTCCTGCCCTGCACCTGACCTCCGACGACAAAATAGCCCAGCCAAAAAAACAAACCTTCAAACTTATCTGGATGCTTTAGTTTTAATATCTATGTTTTAAAACTGTACGGAGTTTGGCTAAAATGGTACTGAAGGTGAGCAGCTTAACAAAATGTACCAGATTAGTTCACAGTTACAAGCAGTGCTCAGTCCAGTTCAAATTCACACACTAGTAAGTTGAAAGGTGTAAATAGACAAAAAGTCGTCAATTCCAGCACGATTCTCCCAAATTATCTTTTCTCCTGTTCATTTTCTGGTCCTGCTTCTATTAATTAATAACAAATGTCTACTACCATTAAAATGTCCAAACAATATACTACTTACCCCTGCAAAGCACTGAGACTTTTCCACATTTAGAGTATTATTCCCTCCCTGAACTTTGTCAAGCCCCTCCAACGTGTGTTTACTGTCAGACCAATGTTTCTGTCCCGTCTCCTGAGGAGCCCCCCGGCTTCTCTGTGACTATTTTAGCTCTGGACGCAGGACAGGATCAGACGTGGACAAGACCGTGGGGAGGGAGGGAGAAAGATGGGTGAGGGGAGGGGACCAAACTGTAGCTGGGGAAGCCATGTCAGCTTAGGGAGGTGCTGGGTGCAAACAAACGCAGACAGGAGGTGGCAGACCTTGTAGCTGTAATGAGTTTAAATTGCTTTGGGTTTTTTTTTTTTTGCAACCCTGATGGTACTCATTGCAAAGTCATGAAGACTGGTAAAAAAAAAAAAAAAGAAGCAAAATTAGCACTTTTCTTCTCATATTAATGGATTATATTTTATATAATGTGTATATATTTACTCTCAAATATGTGGAGTGTAATATGCAGATAAATGCGCTTTGTGTACATTGAGTGCATACCTGCATTTCAGAATTGCAACTTCATCCATTACAGGTGCTGGTCATAAAATTTGAATATCATGAAAAAGTTTATTTATTTCAGTAATTCCATTCAAAAAGTGAAACTTGTATATTATATTCATTCGTTATACACAGACTGATATATTTCAAATGTTTATTTCTTTTAATGTTGATGATTATAACTGACAACTAATGAAAACCCCAAATTCAGTATCTCAGAAAATTAGAATATTAAGACTAATAAAAAAAGGATTTTTAGAAATGCTGTCCTACTGAAAAGTATGAACATGTACAGCACTCAGTACTTAGTTGGGGCTCCTTTTGCCTGGATTACTGCAGTAATGCGGCATGGCATGGAGTCGATCACTCTGTGGCACTGTTCAGGTGTTATGTGAGCCCAGGTTGCTCTGATCGTGGCCTTCAGCTCTTCTGAATTGTTGGGTCTGGTGTATCACATCTTCCTCTTCACAATACCCCATAGATTTTCTATGCGGTTAAGGCCATGCAAGTTTTTTGGCCAGTTAAGAACAGGGATACCATGGTCCTTAAACCAGGTACTGGTAGCTTTGGCACTGTGTGCAGGTGCCAAGTCCTGTTGGAAAACTAACTCTCCTCTCTTCCTCCAGACTCTGGGACCTTGATTTCCAAAGGAAATGCAAAATTTACTTTCATCAGAGAACATAAATTCAGACCACTCCAGTCCCAGGTGAGACGTTTCTGACACCATCTCTTGTTCAAAAGTGGCTTGACACAAGGAATGCGACAGCTGAACCCCTTGTCTTGCATACGTCTGTGCGTGGTGGTTCTTGAAGCACCGACATCCACTCTTTGTGAATCTCCTCAACATTTTGGAATGGGTTTTGTTTCACAATCCTCTCCAGGGTGCGGTTATCCTTTTTGCTGGTACACATTTTTCTACCACATTGCTTCCTTCCCTTCGCCTCTATATTAATGTGCTTGGACACAGAGCTCTGTGAACAGCCAGCCTCTTTAGCAATGACCTTTTGTGTCTTGCCCTTCTTGTGCAAGGTGTCAATGGTCGTCTTTTGGACGACTGTCAAGTCAGCAGTCTTCCCCATGATTGTGTAGCCTCCAGAAGTAGACTAAGAGACCATTTAAAGGCCTGTGCAAGTGTTTTGAGTTAATTAGCTGATTAGAATGTGGCACCAGGTGTCTTCAATATTGAACCTTTTCACAATATTCTAATTTTCTGAGATACTAAATTTGGGGTTTTCATTAGTTGTTGGTTATAATCATCAACATTAAAAGAAATAAACATTTGAAATACATCAGTCTGTGAGTAATGAATGAAAATAATATACGGATTTCACTTTTTGAATGGAATTACTGAAATAAATTAACTGTTTCATGATATTCTAATTTTATGACCAGCAACTACCTGTGCAAACTCTTTCAAACTGAACCATTTGATATAGTTCAGGGTAACATTTTTATTTAAATTTAATTTAATTTTGATTTCATAGTTTACTGTGAGTACCTTTAATATTTGTCATGATGTAACATACGAGACTGGATTCACACAAACACAATCCAAATGCAATAAACCCACATGCACGTAAAATCAAAGTCAACTCATCTGAAAATGAGAGCAAGCAGACTCGCGTCTACTATCTGCTGTATTTAAAGGCCACTTTCAGCTGCAACAGACCGAGCGTCATCCCTATAAATAGCATTGATTTGATCAGCTGTTAAGATTTATCACTTCTTCATTCGCCTTGCTTGTGCCTCCTCCCATTTAGAGAGTTGAGCAAATTAATCAGACACAAACTGCCCAAACTCTGTGGGATTTGTCAGCCCATGCCTCCCATCCTGCTCCACTTGGAGCATCACCCTCAGCTCCTCCCGTCCTGTCATCTCAGCTCCTTTTTATTGCCCCTCCTCCAACACAAGAACATGCTTTCCCCTCTCCGTGCGGAAAAGGCTCCGCTCCCAGTTCGATCCACTCCTCCTTGAATGAAGCAACAGTGCAAACATGCCAGCATTCAGCACAGCACCTCAGTTTACCTGTTTGCGTGGGATTCTGATGCAGCTCCCCATCTTGTATTCCATACCCTCCTCTGGTGAAGTAACCCTGGCACTACACGGCTGGCAGAACACCTTTTTGCAGAACTGCATCGTTGTCGGTCGCACTCAGCATTGCCAGATCGCTGCAGAAGCTACGAGTGCACGCCTCCGTGTCTGCACGAGTGTGCCTCAGTGACGAACTCTGCCCGTGGTCTTCCTGTGACATGTATATTCAAAGCCATTGTTACATAAAGTCCAAATGAACGTGAGGAAAGGAGCCTCTCTGCAGCCCGAGGTCCAGCTGGGCTTCACATCACTGCACAGGGGGAGCAGACCGGAGCCGTTTTGGAGGGAAACAATCCAAGAGAGGGAGAAATGGGAGGCAGTGCAACGTGTGCCTGTCCCTTTAAAAGACAGGAAAGATGCAAGAGTGCTCAACGTGATGATCGTGTGTTCAACCACATGAATCTAATCAATCAGCCGAAACAGAACAAGAGATGCCACAGAATGTCTGAGTCTTCTTTGTTCCAATTTTTTATTAAGCAAAATATATTTTTATATATGTACAAAAAAAAAAAAACAGGAGTCCTGTTTTACAAATTTTCTCCAAGTATCACAACTGTAAACAACGCGACGGATATTTTTTAAGAAGCTAAACCAGAAGAGATTAACGAGGAACATAAGAGAATCTTTAAACTGGACAAAAAAACAAAAACAGGCCAGTCATTTGTGGAAACTTCAGTAGAAGGGAACAAAAAATAGTTGTGTAAAAATCAAAGACACGAATGAATTTTAAAAAGGCTTCGACTAAAACTGGGAGCTATATAACGTTTTGTAGAAAAGACAGGGCGGTCCGTCACTCGTTCTGCGTCTCTGGAGGTGGAATCATGGGCTCTCTGATCTCAAAAACATCGACAATGTCCTGAGAAAGAACAAACAGGAAGTCAAAGTGCATAATATCTTTGATTTCTTGTTTTGCTTCACATTAATTACTGTGCAACCAAATGAAACCTCTCACCTTCCATATCTTTGGACTCAGAGAAATGATGCACTGCTTGCGGGTGGAAGAACCTGCAGCTTCCACCTGCCCCTCCTCTACCGGCGCTGGGACGTGAAATAAAACTGCGTTACCTCAGGACACTTCGGTTATTCTGCAATCAGACTCGAACAAAATGTTCTCACCTATACAAGGCAGCTTATCTTCATCCAGATACATCCGGGCCAAACCATCCTGAAACAGACGTTTTTACACATTACGGCCACAAGAGGGCAGAGAAGATGATATGAAAAATAAAAAATAAAACCTCAAAGTGTCACTTACCCTGATCAGAAAAGAAAAGTGGAAAATGTTCTCCACTGTCCGAGAAAATGAGTTGGGGTCGACGACAAACTCGTAGTACGATACGGGTGCTGATGCTGTGATGCAAACACACACACACACGAGCAAATCATTGACGCAACGAGGCTGTTGAACACGAGTGATGTGTGGCTCTGAAAGATGTCGTGGTGCATTCAGGGGCGGTCAGGAACACCTGAGACCATACTCTTATAATGTGATAAATATGTTCAGGTGTTGCTTCAACACCAACTGCAGGACTCGTGGCACTGAGCGCAAGAAACGGAGCTCCTACGGTGATGCTTTATCAATCTTCTGGGTCACAAAAAATATCAATAATAAATAGGGACGCACGATATTATCAGCATGGTATCGGTATCGGACGATATTAGCGATAAAGTTAAATATCGGACACAGGCCAATGCATCAAAAAAACTCACTGATATAAAAGGCTTCTGTTTTAAGTTCATTTTTAATTCAAGAAACTGTCAAGTGCCGTATATCTAATAATGCACTACTACTCATGCACTTTTCACGTGTCGCTTGCGAACCGGTTGGGTATAAATCTGTTCATGTGTTAGAGAGTAAATGTGATGAATAAATTGGACATTAAACATAATCCAAGTTGAAGTGTTGCATCATTTTCAGCCCCTTTTTGGCATCTGCATTTGGTAACAAGCCAAACTGACAAAGACCATCCAGAATAATGTAGTATTTTAATTTCACAGCAGAGAAAGCTAGTAGTCTCTGTGAGTAGATTTAGGGGGAAAATATTGGTATTGGTATCGGTTATCGGCCAAAAATCCAATATCGTGCATCCCTAATAAATATAATTAGCGGCTCAATGAGACTAACCTGTATAAATAAAGGTTGAATGAAACGTCAGCATTAGTGCTAGTCTCATTTTAAATGTTTGACTGTTTAAAGCTGAAGAGAGCTAAAGTGGTCACTCAGGATATTTGAGAACAGACCATAATATCACATGTGAACATAAAGCTGTCAGAGCTTTATCAGTCACACATGTTGATATGAACAGATTTAAATCCCCTCAGTGATGCTACAGGGACAGTGTGGATTTGAAACTCACGATCATCTTGGTGATAACTCTTCAGAAAACCAAGGATTCGTTCAACTTCTTTCTCCGTTGCCTCTTGATGAGATTCTTCCATTTTCTTCAGCTGACAACAAAATACAAGACAATTTCGTTTCACCTCATGCACCGCATGCGATGTGAAGGACAACAAAGAACCTTAAATACAGTTAGAATGAGCGAAAATACTATCTATACATCATTTTATAGAAAATGTGCGTAAATAAATGCTTAATAAAACAGTTGGAACAGTTGAAGGAGTGGCTGCTAAGTTTATATCATGAATACGGTTGATTTCTTAAGGAATAATAGAGAAAGCCACGGCTGTTTGTGCACAGAGATGGAATGGAGACAGAGATGGTGAGAGTTGAACTACCTGTGTGGGCATTATTCTTTGGGCCTCCTTGCTGGGAACTCTTCTTTGTCTTTCTACTCTCTGCTTAGGAGGAGGAGGTTCTGCGTGGAAGGATCCCATCCTGTTGAAACCCCAAACAAAGTCAGGCACAACAAACAACTAAACACTTTAATCTGCGTAGGTTTAGGAAATAAAAACAAAATATCTGATACTGCACATAAAGATATACTTGAACACAACCATGCGGAAAACAGATTTTTGTTGATTTGTTTTATTGTGGAAAGAACATATTTCTCTGCAAAATTAAAGTAAATGTTTCTTCGTTGGCACCTTTGAGGAAAAAATGTAACGTTTATTTGCAGCGACTTTGTCTTTTTCCTCCGCACCGACTGCTCTGCTGTGATCAGCTGGAGCTGATGTGTAACACATGGACATCGTTGTTGTTTCTGTGGTATGCGAGATCTTTAACGAACATCTCTGCATGATAAATCTCGACACGTCAAACTCCACCAGGGAACAACTTGATGAAACCATGCAAATTTCCTTCAGCTTGAATTTCTTTAAATGCTGAATTACTTCCTCTGTGCATTGTACTTCGTTCAGTACCAAGTCCTGGTGTTTAGGTAGCAGCTGGTACGTAACATTTGTTGGTACTCACATGTAGTGGAAAGTGGGCGCCGTCCTGAAACAGCACTCTGTGCTCTTTGCCAGTCTGTGCCAGGCATCTTTAGGCAGGTAGCCATCACCCAGAGCTTCATTTTGCTGATCGTCCTCCTCGTCCTCCAGTCGGTTGAGACCCATGAAGGACAACTGTCCAAGAAATAAAGACACAAACTGTTTCAACTGCATTCGTTCGTAGAGAAAGAACTGCACTCTACACACGTCTCCTCTGTTTTAGACCTTCGCAACATTTGGGACCAGTGCTGTAAACCCAGGCAAACATCAGAAAGAGTGAACAAATGCAGTAAACGTACCAGATGCTCTGCGAAAGCCGTAGGATCAAAGGCGCTGCCCTCAGCAAACAGCTGGCTGGCTTTCTCCTTTCCCAAGTCTGTGGCCACGACAAGGAGCTGAGCATCAAGAGCGGCTTCTCTCGCCTGCCGAACTGCCAGAGAACAGACGCGTCAAACATTCTGATCTGCAAATAAGCTGCTACTTCTTATACAGCTTTTGCGTTACCATTTTCCAACGTTACAACCAACGTAAATTATCAGAGAGTACATCAAACCTACCATCTTTAAAAAGCTTGTTTGCCTCTTCTAGGACTTCTGTGAGTCTGTTGTTTGATGGACTCAGCATGTCTTCTCTGTTCTCTGGGTTAAAAAGAGAAAAAGGATATAAGGAGGAGTGTCGGAACGGTTTGTTTTGAAGACACTCAGTTAAGCTGCCGCTCAGTAATCACGTTGTACGGAGTTGATGAGGTCTCTGTATTTGCTCCGTATTTCTCTCCTGAGGCCCTGGTCGTTGTCGTCGTCCTCGTCCTGCAGCCCGGCCGGGCCGGAGTGGACACCCGAGTCCTCCCCATCACCAAGCTCAGCTCTCCTCCGACCAGAAAAGCCGTTCTGCCGGGGGCTCTCCTCGTCTCCGCCAGATTTGGACCTCCTCATCTTCTGTCGGTTTTTATTAGAGGGTCAGCCAGGAGCTACGAACACAAAAACGTTCATGTTTAGGGAAACGTCAAGACTTTAATGTCGTCAACTGGCATGAAAACAAACTGGTCGACTAAACTCAACTCAGTTCAACCTTTATTTATACAGGTTAGTCTCAGAACTCTCATCTTGAGCGAACATGAAGGCGACTGTGGAAAGGAAAAACTCCCTCATGAGTAAGAAAGAAGTTTTAAACAAAGAAAACAGATGGCAACAGTAGACAATCATATAAAATGAAAACTAGATAGAAGAAACGATATAAATAATCGAAACAAAACCAGCTACATTATAAAGCGATGTACTAAAAACAGGAACATGTCTGCGTTGGTTTTTGCCACGACTAAAGATGTTCAGTGAATTCTGTATCGAGCAAGCCGTTAAGACAGTTTTGTTAAAGGTTGTTGAAGGAAAAAATAAAATAAAATCTTTACCTTATCGCGTAAACTTGAGACTGCCAAAGGTAGACCAGCTCGAATTAACTTCTCGCGCGCAGATCTAAACTAGCTAAACCGTTGCTAAGTGACGGCGACGATGTAACCGTTAAGGCTGCGTTTTAACTCGTCGAAGCACGACTTCCGTGCTGCTGTAAACCGAGTAAATATGCATGTATAAAAGTAAAGACAAAAGCAGCTTAAAGTAACAATTAGCATCCAAAACCCAGAACTTCAACAGTTCTAGCGTGCGGTGGACGTACAGGAAGTTAACTTGTGGTGTGAAATGTGTCCCTTCAAAATAAAAGCAAATCGCAAACTTGACGTTGACACAAGAAAAGAGTTTATATAAAAGGAAAAGAGAAAGACTGTAAGACTGAATTAAAAATATATACTTGTTTGTAAAAAATAAATAACGTCACACGTGTACAGCCCGATTTGTTTGAAATTGTTCAGAAAAGACAATTGAGGAAATTGTGAACAGTGAACCCTCTTGCTTCAGTTCAGCCGTCTTCATCTCTGGTTTGAGTTTGTTACGGTTAGTTATCAATGCGCATGCGTAAAATTAGGCGCCGCGACTCCAAATACTGTAATTTCAAATATTAATGTCTATGGTTTCAAAGCTTTTACACCGAGTTTTTATTGATTGTTGTATACAAACGTAACGTAAAACAAAGTACTGACTTTGAGCATGCGCATTAGTAACTGTAAAAGTTCACAAGTTCTAAAATGTATTTATTTATGTATTTACTTATTTGTCGCTGACGTTGGTTTTACATCAATGAAAGAAGTTAAACTTTTAACCAGTTGTAGATTATTAATAAGTTGTTATTATAATCATCATTATTTGTTATTGTAGAATGGCGCATAAGTAAAATTACATGAAAAAAAACCACAAGTATGGCATTCAGACAGGAAGTGACAAGTTGAAAGCCACCGCCCATTTTTTTGTTGGTTCAACTTCCGGCTTCCGGTTTGTGCTTTTCTCTCTCTCTCTCTTTCTCATGACTGTTGTAATAAATTTACTATAATACTATTCATATTTATAATTAATTTCATTGTGTTTTATCTTATTCTTATGTAAACTAAAAAAAAGTACAAAGTTTGGGACATAATTTGTATGACAGTTTTGAGAAAAAAATAAATTTTAGAGCCACTGAGATTTATTCTACAGTTACATTTGTAATGTTATTAAACTGGACTTTTAGCTCTGCCCCGCTATATTAATATAAAACGTGTTAAACCTTTTCTCTGTTACTGAGGTGGAGCCATGACGAAAAGACTCAGCTAATCCCCTCCTGACCTCCTTAGCTGGACAGAAACTGCAGGTGAACTGCTCTCCTTCTGAGTGAGTGAGCCTGTCATCCAGAACTTTTAAGATGGGGGAGCTGAGGTCCAGTCCCCCTGCTTTCTGTCTGGGCCAGAAGAACTTGGAGTCAGCTGGAACAGAAAGGTGCCGCTCAACAAGTCAGCTCCCACAGGAGTCCTGCACTCCTCTCGCAATAAAACCGGTTCAGCTCCTGATAAAATCACTGAACGAGCTGATTGTGGAGCAGAGGGAGGTGCCCTTTGAGGCGATGAGGGTTATGCACGAATCCTATGAAAAACAAAGAACGAAGGCTTTGAAGGAGTGTCGCAGCAGGGAGGAGGACGGGATTATCCTGGCATCAGGGAGCAGGTGGCCCAGGAGTAATGTTGCTTCAAACTTGGAGGTTTCGCCAGACACCAAAGTGAAGGAGAACCCCTCAGACTCATGGACACCAGAGCCCATTCCATATGCTGATCTGTGCTTTAGGGGGAAGCTGGCCTGTAGGTCCAGCTGCTCTGCTGCTGAAAGGAGAGACCCCGAGAGGAGCACAATCAGCAGCTTAAACCTGGGAGACCTGAGGTGCTCCCCAGCTACGGAGGTGAAGCTGCAAAGGCTCACTGCAGAAATAAAAAGGAAGACGTGTGTCACAGTGTCAGAGAGGGATCGCAAAATAGCAGCTATCATGCTGGTGAAACACGAAGAGGAGCAGGATCGTCTGAAGCTCTCACAGCAGGAGGAGCAGAAGCACCAGGAGGTTCGCAGGCAGGAGGAGGCCCAGCAGGCCCAAGCAGAAAAAGAGCTAAGGAGGAAACTGAGGCAGAGTATGAAGCGCTGGAACAAGGAGCTGGAGGCCCGCAGGAGGCTGAGGCAACGTTGGGAGCAGGAGAAAACAAGGCAGCTGGAGCAGGAGGTACTGCTCCAAGAGGACCGCTGGAAGAGGCTGAAGGAGGAGGTGGATGCACAACGCAAAGAAAAGTTGGAGGGTGCACTGAGAGAGGCAGAGGAGCGCAAACACTGCCAGGAGAAGCTGCTGAGAGAGAAGGAGGAGTTTGAGAAGAGGGAGCAGGAGAGAGTGCGACAGGCAGCAGTAGTGATGGGGGAGAGGGCCTGTAGGAGCAAACTGCAGCAGGAGAAGAAGGAGCAGAAGAGACTGCAGGAGGAGAACCGCAGGGAGCTGCTGAGGCACATCCTGCTCAAGAAACGGCTGGAGCAGCAGATGGAGGAAGAGGAGGCACAAATGATGAGCGCACTGCAGAAAAATCTGCAACGCTCCTCTGAGAAACGAGCCCAAGTGGTGGAGGCGCAGCTGAGGAGGCGGCAGGAGCGCTCTGCTCGGGAGCAGGAGCAGCTTCAGAGAGCCCAGCTGAGGGCCAAGCTGCAAAACATCCAGCAGCTCACAGGCAAACACCTCCTGGTCCAAACGAGCCAGCGCCGCATGGAGAGAGCGGCTCTGAACGCCTCCTCGCTGCTGAGGAGCAGAGCTCAGCAGACCCGAGAACACAACCAGCACAGGGAGAACCGCCACCAGAGACTCAGGGAGGAGATCCAGAGAGAGGAGGAGGCCACGACGAAGGCCAGAGAGAGCTGCCTTTCTGTGAAGGAGTGGAAGAGGGAGAGGCTGCTGAGACAGAGACAACAGATTCACGAGGAGGCGCAGAGGCTGACTCGAGCCTCCTTCTACATGAGGGAGGGAGTGAGGCAGCAGACACACAGTCGAACCTTTGATCAGATGGCTCTGGAGGCTCAGCTGACGGCCTCCATACGATGCATGAAACTATGAGACAGGATCATGCCGAACAGACGTGTTTCAGAACAAAACGTTCATCCAGTGAGAAAACCAGTAAAGACCCAGGACTGTTGGACAGGTCTTACATCAGACAAGATCCCCGTTCAGAGTCCAGCAGCTGGTCTCCATCCAGTACCCAGTAACAGCATCCAGTTCCTGTCGGTTTACAGACTGTTGTTGAAAGAAGACGAGATGTTTCAGTGGTAAACATTCAATTCAAAATATCCTGATGCATGCTTTTAAACCCCAAAATACATTACGGCAAAGACTGGTTCATCCCAAAGATCCAGTCCCCCGGCACAAACAGAGCAATGTTGTGTATGCTGTTCAGTGTCAGGAGGGCTGTGATCAGTCTTACATCGGGGAAACTAAACAGCCACTGGCCAAAAGGATGGCCCAGCACAGAAGATCAACATCATCAGGCCAGGACTCTGTGGTCTACACTCATCTCCAGGCCAGCGGTCACTCTTTCAGGGATGAAGATGTTCACATCCTGGACAGAGAGGAACGATGGTTTGAGAGAGGAGTAAAGGAGGCCATCTTTGTGAAAAGAAACCGTCCATCATTAAACAGGGGTGGAGGCCTCCGGGTTCAACTGTCCCCCTCTTACAATGCTGTGATTGCTAGTATCACTCAGCCCTCTGTGAACAGTAAACAGCCATCAGTGTGCTAATGATCCATTGTTAGGCTGATGGTCCTTCTTGAGCATGTGATCAGCTGGTTTTGGTTGTCAGCAGCAAAACTGGTTGATCCACTCTGTGAAGGTGCTATTTAAGAGACTGAGCTGAATACAGCTCCTCAGACTGAGGAAGTCTCTCGGATGAGAGACGAAATGTTTCTACATTTTTTTGTTGATTTGCTTTGTTTTGTTTTTTTGAATGTCCAGAGGACCAGATTTAACTTTTTTAGATTCAATTCAAAACTACTTCATTAACCCCAGAGGGAAATTAAATCTTGTTGTAGCTCATCCTGGTTTCATTCAAGAGTGTTTCTAGATGCAAATGGCTGAACAGGAAGGATCTCGTCTGTCTTGGAACAGATCTGAAGAAACTGCAGATGTTGATAGGTCAACTTGGACTTGGTGGGTTAGGACCACTTGGATCTTGGGCAGAACTCCTCCCTGAACGATGGTCTCTCCTCCCAGCAGCTTGCTGAGCTTCTCGTCATTGCAGACAGCCAGCTGCAGGTGTCAAGGGATGATCCTGGTCTTCTTGTAGTTACAAGCCACGTTTTCCACCAGCTCCAGGATCTCGGCGGTCAGATGCTCAAGCACCTCCGCCAGGTAGACAGGGATGCGTCCACGGCACCTCCTTTTTCCACCTTCTTTTTAAAACATGACCCTGGATCAATTTTTTGAGATGTATTAATGAAGTAAATGTATAAATTAAGTGAATGAGAGGGAGGTCAGTGGAACAGTGAGGCTACAAGGAGCAGAGGTCACAAAGGTGCAGGACTTCAAGAACTTGGGGTCCACTGTTCAGGAAAACGAGGAGTGTGGGAAAGAAGTGAAGAAGAGAGGATGGATGGAGTGGATGGAGAAAAGTTTCAGGAGTGATTTGTGACAAAAGGGTGTCAACAAAGGTCAAAGGAAAAGTTTACAAGACAGTGGTGAGACCAGCTATGTTGTCTGGTCTGGAGACAGAGACATGGACAAAAAGACAGGAGACGGAACTGGCAGAAATGAAGATGTTGAGGTTCTCCTTAGGAGTGACAAGGATGGATAAGATTAGGAATGAGATCATCAGAGGTACAGCACAGGTTGAACAACTGGGAGATAAAGTTAGAGACCAGACTGAGATGGTTTGGACATGTCCAGAGGAGGGACAGTGGGTATATTGGTAGAAGGATGTTAGAAATGCAGCTGCCAGGAAAAAGACAAAGAGGAGATCTATGGATGCAGTTAGAGAGGACATGGAGGTAGATGGAGTGAGGACAGAGTGAGATGGAGGAGGATGACTCCATGAAGAGGGAAAAGCCAAAAGATGTATCAGTGAAGTAAAACTCAAAGTTACGTTATTTCAAAAGGTATTATTTCTAGTTTCAACATTTCATAAGTCTACTACGTTTCATTGTGAATAAAATAAAGCTTTATTAGATGTGCGAGTCATTTCGTTTGATATACATTTACATTTTGCACGTCTACGTTTTCAGAACCGCGGTTGTGAAATTAGCGTTCTTTTGTTCTTGTAACTTAATCATTTTATTTTCGTGGACTCTTTGGGAAGTCCTGACCTCAAAAGCTGGGAACCAAAACTGAGTCGTTCGCCCAAAACGTTCAGTCATGCAAGTCTGTTTGAGCGACGAATCAGCAAGTTTGCGTCGTGTCGTCCAGCAGTATCTAGTGTTACACTCCCAGTGAACAAGTGAAATGTCCCAGAAGACCCTCGGGACGTCAGGCAGCAGCTGTGAGTTTTTAGCTGCCAGAAAGTTGAAGACGAAACAGTCAAGGGTTAAACTGTTTTGTGCAGCCATCAAATGAACCCTGGCATCACAGCCATTAAACAAGCTGCAGAGTGCAAATAAAGAGAACGACGGGTTAATGTTTGGCTGAACATTGTGTGGGTCAGAGTTTTACTGCATGACTGTCGTCCTGCATAGAAACTTCAATTTACTAGAAAAACCTCGCTCTCATTGACACTTTATTATTTTGGATTAATTATAACCACAAAAAGACTGTTAAATCTGGCCATTATTATACTATCATAGTTTTTAGTGAAAAACTGATCAAAACATTTTCTTTATTTTGATATTAATGCATTTAACGCAGGAGTTCTTGTTAAAATTATTCTGCTTGAGCAAATAAAGGTCCACTGCTTCAAGACAGTTACACAAATTGTAAAGAAACAGGCTTTTACAAAAGTAGAATGTTTTCGTTATTTTATTTTATTTTTGGCTTACGCCCAAGACGAAAGTGAAATCAGATCAGTGTTCTTGTAGCGTTCCAGGCGTAACAGCCGTTTGACTCGTAAAAGATGTGATGACTATTACAAAAACGAATTGAGGTCTTTCCCTGTTCCTGCAGGTGTCCCACTAAAACCAACTTGCTTTATTAGACGTGCACTTAAAGCTCGTTTTCAAACTAAATCTATGACCAAACACAACTTGATTTGGACCTCTAGCCTTTGTTATGCGGTTCTTTCTGAAAATCTTTCCAGCGAGCGTTCCAAAAGAGCTTCAACAATAAAAGTCCCTTTTCTATTCTTTTCTTGGAAGAGTTTCCATCAAGTGAGAATGTATGAAATATCCAGTTCCTTACACAAACTGGGAAGTTCTGTTGGTACGGGAACAACGGCGCAACCCAACACTCAGTTGCAGGAAAATCAGAGCACACCAAGTTTCCTTCTTCTAATTGGTCCAAACAGGAAGTCCTCCAACAGTTTTTCTTCCAGTCGAGATTGCACTAAAGTTTCTTTTTAGTCATCGTGCAGTCCGAAGGCCATCACGACCGGAAGCCCCACGCCGAGGATGAGCGTGAGGCTCTCCAGGAGCCCCAGGTGCCGCTGCCCGTGGCTCTCGGCTTCGGGGAGCTCCTGGAGGTCAGAGAGCGGCTCTTCTTTCCGGCTGTTGCTGATTTCAGGGAGAACGTGCACGGTGGCCACGTAGAGGAACGTCCCAGCTGAGAAGAGCATGCCCACGCCTGTGGCACTGAGCTGGTTCTCAGCAGAATTTCCAGACTGTGGACAGAACACACATCAAGTTGAAAAAAAGTTAAATAAAGCAGAACCAGCTGCTGAGGCTGAATATACGTGAAGTTCTTACCGAGTGCAAGATGAAGTAAGTGCTGATGGCAACTACCGGAGCTGCGGCTGAGAAGGCCAGTAAATGTCCCTGAATGTGTTTTTTCTCGAGGCCGGCGTGCATCAGAAAGGAGACCAAACCAAAAGCTGCAGGCGCCTGAAAGGCAAGAAAGATAAGCGGGTGATATGGCAAGCTCTTTGTGTATTTATTCCATATACTAAATAGCAAGTCTTTTCGCTACTTCGTTTCAACTACACTGCACTAGTTTCACAAAAACTCATACTAGTAATATATTTTGCCAACCAGTATGCTTTACTTTTTTAGTTGGAGAAGTTATACAAGTGAGCCAAAGTAGAGCTGCCGTTTCTAACCCGGGCCCGAAGCCCGGCCCGACCCAAATTTGGTCCGGGCCATGATAATGTGCTGGATGAGCGGACCGGGTCAGTGTTGGGCTTTTGATTGCGACAGCGGATCAGCTGTGATCCAGTTATATGTTAACATGGTTTGCCATACATCCACCAGCCGCACACAGCCATTTCACCACGAGCTGATCGGCCTTGAAAGAGGTAAAATAAAGTTCAGTTAAACCTCAGATGGGACTACACGGCCAGTGATCCATCGCCAAAATGGACGTTCATTCAGCCGCTGCACTCAGTGGGAACGCACGGCCGACGACCCAAACAGGTGAGAACCTAAAGCAGACATGTCAGAGCAGGGTCCATGTCTGAATAATGCAGAATGTAGGCAGAAGAAGGATTTAATGTGCTTTGACGGCCATGAAAGGACAAACATCCCCTCAGCTCTGATCTTCTGCCCCTTTTTATTCAGCCGCACGCGTCTGCCGACCATTAATAACTACGTATATAAGCAGTCAAAGCTTAACTAAAAATGTCAGGGTTTTTTTTCCGAGTTCGAACCTGTAATTACTGTTAATGGGTCGGCTGGGGATCGGAAATGATGGCTACGGGCTGGGTCGGATTGGATTTTTTGGGCCTGAATGCAACTCTAGGCCAAAGTCCTGCAGTTGCAGCCCAAATGTTCCAACTACGGTAGTTAGCTTGTTAACACTCTGGTGGACTACTGGACCAAACTAATCAACTACTATGTCATACAAATTAACAAAACCACCTTCATGCTAACTAGTCAACACAAATTATGCCTATTAGTTGACTAGTGATGTTCAAATATGCACACTAGTGGACTTGCTGACATTTTTCATTACAGTAGTTAAGTAATAAAAGACAGAAACTAGTCGACTAGTGAGCATTTTAGAGTTTAATTTAGTTGAAAAATATGAACATTTGACAATTTATAGTTGATTAATATAAATATTTTGTGTTGACTAGATAACATGCAAGGTTTGGACTTTTACTAGTTAACTTGTATGACACAGTCCTTGACTAGTCTGGTCTAGTGAGGCATAATGGTTGACTAGTACAACTTCTGCTGCAACAAGTTAGGCAAAAGAGTCATTAGTTGGCAAAAAGTTTCACTAGTAAGATTGTTTGTTGAAGTAGTGGGATCAAATGTGCAACTAGTTCTGTGTAGTTGTACATTTGATACTAAAGATAATGAATAAATACACAAATGGTTTGCCATACAGGGCATCGTGAGCTCTGAGGTTCATACAGCTGTATTTGACCAAGATGTCCTCTCACCTTGTGTAGAATGACGGCAAAAAATACGATGACTTGCACGGTCACCTGACCTGTGGCCACAGCAGCACCCAGAGCAAATCCATCAGCTGGGAGCAAAAATAAATATTAAACACCAAGACAATCAGGGTTTATCCATGTTCAGGTAACTAGAAGTCAAAACAATAGATGATTTATTTTGTGTGGGATTTTACCAAGCCAAATATTTCTTCTATGGACATTTTGATGTTAAACCTTGAGGCTAAAAATGAGCTCATTTGAAACAGCTCCAACAAGCTCACGCTAAGTCACATGAGGAACAAGAACAAGTGTGTTTTGTTGGGAATTTTTATATGCCTATTTCATGAAACTCCTTTATGTGCCTCATACAAACAAAGATCAATAGACATGCACCGCTGAACGTTTGAGGATTTACCTGCAGAATGAATGACCAGCCCCAGGGTGGCTGTGATGTGGACACGATTTGTCGTATGCACTGTTTGGTCTAAAATCAAACAATGACAAAGTTTAGATGAAACATATGAAGATTTATGGACACAAAACAAAACTGGTGTGAGAATTGTGCCAACTTGCCACGCGTGGAAAGGTAACCTCCAATCTGGTCAACGGCAAACATGAAGGTGAACCCGAACGTTAAAGCCACCCCGATGTAGAATCGAGGCGGGGTGGCTTCCTCTGAGGAAGAGTTTGTCTTTTCACTGGTGTTCAAACTGAGCAGCTCATCAGAGGAAGAGGAGGGTGCTGGACGGAACATGAAGGACAGGAAGAGCTTTTGAACAAATCCCAAATGAAAGACAACAAGCAGAACTCATTCAGACCGGTGGTTTAACCCCCACATCATCAATGGTTTCAAACGGTTACAACAAAACGCTAATTTGGTGGTTTGTATCACATCTGTTGCCATGACAACCAAAGGATGGGGGCGATTCTGATTCACTGAGGTTTAGCTCACCTCTCCATGAATCCTCCAGTAAACCCACACCTTCAGGGATGGTGATGGCGAGTGCTGTCCCACACAGGAGTCCTGCTCCCAGAATGGAAACAAACTGCAGGCTTTTCTACAAGGACCAAACATTTAGGCAGAAAAACTTTCAACACAATAAACAACGTTCGCAAAAGGATCGTTAACAAGAGACTGTAAACCAACAAACATACCTGGCATCCACATATGCAACAGTTCAGGTCTTAGGAGGTTAATGCACTCATATTCTATATTATATATAGAATGTGTGTAAGACATAGAATATACTGTATATATTCTATAATATATTTTAAAGTTACAGTTTATACATCAAAATTTAAGGTTTGTTGTCTTTCAGCCAGCATGTCTCGCGCGGTTGTAGGACTTAGTTTTCACTCACTTCCCCCTAGAACACAGAGTCCACACCCAAGCTTACAAAGTCTTCACTTGTATTTTGTCTCAAAAACATATTTTTAAACTGAAAGTGCTTTTTGACTTATAGCTCTGACATAAAACACTGCAGAAGCATGTGTGACCAGCTGGGTCTTCTGCGACTCACAGTTCAAAAACTAACTTTTAAGATACGATTTGCAGTTTTTGTACAGTGTCTATGTTACGACCCAGCCCAGCTCAGCCAGGAAAAGAGGAGGTATCATTAAAACCAGGTGGAAAGAGGTTTGGACTAAGAGTAGTGATTTATTTGGTCAGCTAACCAAAATTAAACAAAAGAGAGTAATTTTGGTCTAGGAGTATGATTCTTGCTTGGGATGCGAGAGGTCTCGGGTTCTTATCCCGGACGAGCCCCAATTAATGATACAATCCGGCTCAGCCAGGAAAAGGGGAGGTAACATTAAAGCATAGGCATCACAACCATTATATGTGATGGGGACGTGTCCCCCTCACATTCAAAAAATTTTAATTTGGACCCCCCCCCCCC